GCACGCAAAGACACGCAGACCCACAGACGCACGTACTCAGATGCACTCCCCGCCCCATATGCGCACACGCACATACACGCAGTGAGAAGGGCTGCACTCTAAGCCAACGGAAGCTGGCGTCGTAATTCTTACCTGCTGCAAAACCTTCTCTGTGAATATCTCTTGGAGCCTGGAGATTTCAACCACTGTCCCTTCAATTTGCCTTCACAGAAAGATGGCGAGGTGAGCCGTCAATGCTGGGCATTGTCATGGACACCCCACCCTCTCCGTGCCCCCATGTGTGGACACCAGGGGAGCAGGATGCCGTGGGAGGTCACTGTCATGGACACTCCACCCTCTCCAGGCCTCACTCAGGGTGCCATGTGTTGGGGGAGGGGAGGGGCAATTCCACTTGTCAGCTCAGCGTTAATTAGGACCCTTCACCCACCCACGTTCTTCACCGTCTGGAAACACCCACCACACACACAGACCCTCATCCCCAGAGACGGGTACGCGCAGGCCCCAGGGTTAACCTGGCCAGCGTCACCCAAGGAACACAGAGTGGGGACTCCAGCGATGACGTCAGGGCATGTTCCTGAGTCCTCCTGCTGACCCAGTTGGGGTGGGGGTGTCCCTGGCCGGCATGGCAGGGTCAGTCCTGTCCCAGCAGTGTGTGGGGGGCAGAGGGGAAGGATGGGGTGGGGAGCCCCCAATCCTGGCCCAAGAGAGTGTGGAGACATGGGGTAAGAGGACCCCAGGTGGGGAGGGGCACAGAAGGGAGGGGGTGGGGGAGGGGCTGAGAGAGCAGGAGCCCAGCTGGGGGCATAATGCTCAGGAAGGCTGCTGGGGGACCCTGCCTGTGGGGAGGGGACCCCGCCTGTGGGGACAGGAGCGGGCAGGTGCGGTGGGCCCACCCTCTTTTGGGAAGTGCCCACAATGCAATGCTGAGAGGCCCAGCCATCTGCTGGAGGGGGTTGTGCACCCGGTCCTGCTGCCAACAACGTGAGCAGCTCAGTGCAGTGAGAGCCATTCTCTCAGGGACCAACACGCAGCACCTGGGGAGGCAGCTGGGGACAGTGGCAGCCCCCACCCCCAAAGGCCTGGGACCGAGGAAAGAGGCCCCTTCCCCGGGCAAAGTGAGGCCATCAGCTCACGTACCTCACTTCATCAAACAGGCTGTTCATCTCGCCCACGAGCCGCTGGTTCTCTTGTTCAAACTGTGGGGACACAACCGAGTGCGCCGTGAGTGACGTCACACAGGATTTCTCCTCAACAGCCACGCTGCGGAAGGCAGGTGCCCTGCTCGGTGGGGTCCCGAGCCCACGGGCTAGGGGACAACACATCGGGGTGAGCCACCCCCACTTTAGGGGAAAATAGACCCAAAGAAGAGTGAAGTTCTCAGGACTCCACAGCACAATTCCCTGTACCACCTGGTCACCTGTCCCCATGTCCTCTCATCTCTCCACACCTGCCACTCCCTACTCATGCCCTCCTCACTTCTCACCTCCACACCTGCCACATGGTCTCCTCTTACACCTTCTGCCTCCAGGTCAACACCCCCCCCACGCCCTCCTCACCTCTCACCTCAACACCTATCACCCCCCCACACGACCTCCTCACCTCAATACCTATCACCCCCCCACGCCCTCCTCACCTCTCACCTCAACACCTACCACCCCCCCACACGTCCTCACCTCTCACCTCAACACCTACCACCCCCCACACGTCCTCACCTCTCACCTCAACACCTATCACCCCCCCCCCCCACGCCCTCCTTACCTCTACACCTGTCAAATGGTCTCTCCACCCATCTCTGACTCCTGGTCACACCACCCTATGTTCCCTTATCTCTCTCACCCCCACACCTGTCACACCTTCATCCTTCCGTGTCCCCTGGTCACATCCCCCTCCCCACACCCTCACCGGTCTCACTGTCCTGGTCCCCGCCTCCTGCTCCCACCTCTCTGCACCTTCTCCTCAGGTCTTGGCCTGCTCACACTCCTGTCTGGGCAGCCTCGGGCAGCAGCCCGTCACCATGGCCCCAGCCGTCCTCTGACGCTGCAGTGCCAGCTCTTCCTGCCACCTCCCTCCCCGAGTCTGCCACTTCCACCTCCAAAGCTCACACACAGGCCTCCCTGCAGGCTGTATTCCGCCCCCACCGTCTCGCTCCCTCTGTTCCGCTCTCCTCCCCTCAGCAGTCAGAAAATTGAAACCATGAATCCCATAAGACCACGGGGTGCTGGGCCCTTCAAGGGGGGGGCTGGCCCAGGGCTCCCCGTGATGGGCCCTCTGCCCTGTCTCTGCATCACCCCTTCAGGAGGGGTGGCCCAGGGCTCCCTGTGATGGACCCTCTGCCCTGTCTCCCTGGGTCTCCACACTGGGCCCTCACTGCCCTCCTGGCCCCAGGGCTGAGCAATCCTTTGATGGGAGCTCAAGAGCATGCTTCTTGGTCACACGAGGCAGATACACCCACGTCCCTTTCTTGTTACAGCTGCCGCACCTCACTCATCACCACCCTCCCCACTCCTCACACCTGCCTCCCCCTGGGGATTTATTCTCTGAACCCCAAGCCCAGCACAGCACTGACACACTAGATGGCTCAGTTCTCAGTCCTGACCGCCTTCAAGTGCCCCGGGTGCCCCATCTCACCGCAGACCCACAGGACAGAAAACAGGCAGGCTGGTGAGGCAGCACTGGGCAGTGAGGGGCGCTGTGGCCTGTGCATCACAAAGGCTCGTGGGGAGAATGAAGATGTCACTGCGGAAGGAGGACGCCCTCGCCAAGACGGACGGACGGACGGACGCAGTGACACCACTGAGCGCGAGTGTGTGGAGATGAGGGTGGAGTGGGGCAGGGCAGGGCTCGGGGCTGTCTGCACTGGGTCGTAGTCAACCCGACGGCACCGAACAACAGGCTGAATGACAGGACCACTTCTGCGGCCACCTGGCCAGTCTCCACAGATCAGCAGGAGGTGACTGCCCCCCGACACCTACAGTGAACCCGTGTCACAACCAACGCCATCTCCACAGACAAATATCAGACCTGGCTGCCGTCTCCACAGATGAGTGTGAGGCCACCAGCTCGGGAGACCTGGCTGCGGAGGACCCACGTCCCACCCCGTCTCCACGGATGAGTGTGAGGCCACCACCTCGCATGCGCGGTGAGGCTCTGGCAGACGGGGTCAGGGCTGCAGAATGGTCTCTGAGGCGGGCTGAACTGCACACCTGTGCGCCTCGTGTCCATGTGTGGAGTGAGGGTGCGAGGAGCCAAGGCCAAGGGCAGGCTGGATCGTGGGAACGCCAGCGGATTTGTGGACAGTCCTACAAGAGGACCGGGCAGCCAGCTGTCAGACACCTTCTCAGTGGCCTGTCAGTGTCTGTGTCACCAAGATGAGCAATCTCTTCCTTTGTGCAATATGCTACGTAAAGTCGAGCTGGACCTGCTCTTCCCTGGGCTTTCAGGGGTAGTAAGCTAATCACATGGAGGACACTGTCCATCTTTCTCCTGCAGAGCAGCGGCTGCATTCGAACTGCACACCTCTGTGTGGGCAGTACAATTCCTTCCCATTAAGCTACCAGGGCCCCTGCCTCTCTGCCAAACCATGCACACTCCTCAGCTCCGTCCCTCGCCTGAGTCCCCACCTGTGTCTCGTGGGTCCCGAGCTTCTCACATTCTCCTCTCCCTGGCCAATGCCAGGACCTGGTCACCCACCAACCCACAAGGCCCCAGACACAGGTCTGCCGGCAGTGACCTCACCACGGGAGGAACTGAGAGGGAGAGCGACACAGAAGTCACGCTCGTGCCTTCAAAAGCTGTCCCGGGGGAGAAACTAGAAATGCAGGTGTTTTCACTTGAGGCCAGAGCCGGCTGGGGCAGGAGGAGGAACTGGTCCAGGAGGAGGCTCGCTTCCGCCCTGATAAAAGCAGAAAGTGGTCTGGCTCCACGCAGCCCGACGTCAGGGCGCCTGCCTGTACTACCTCAGGGCCACCAGAACACCTGCACCCCAGGCTGAAGCGGCCACTTCTTGTGCACAGGCCCTAACGGCCAGTGCCCACCCGGGAACACTCAACAACATCTCCTCTGGGGAAAAAAATGATGAGACGAAATGCCCAACAGGGGGCTTAATGCATTAGTTCACCCCCAGGGACAAAATGCAGAAACCGTGACTATGAATTATGGCCACAATTCGCTACAGCACTTTCCAATTTAAAATAAACAGCACGGCGTTCCTTCTCTTCATTTTCGGGGCCCCGCCTTCTTAATAAGGCTTGGGTGAGTCAGAGGATAAGATGTGCTGCGTGACGATTATTGCCAATTCAGAAAGAAGCTAAGCGAACGTTAAATAGCCAGTCAGGAAAGCACGACTCTTCCAGCCTGATGCCCACTCCATTTGCAAGACGGCAGCAAAACCGGGCGTGAGTCGTGGGAACTGGCCAGGGAATGACTGGATGCTTCCAGAGGCCAACTCACTCCGTCAGGAGTGCAGTGAGACGGGTTGTTTTGTCAGGTGCCCTCGAGTACGACTCACAGCGTTCCTGTGAACAACAGGTCTGAACCCTGTCCTATCCTGTGCCATCCTCGACATCTCCGACACACTGAGCCAACCGCCGCAGTTACTGCGTCAATCCACCCAGCGGAGGCCTTTCTCTCTTCCTCTGAGCCTCCCCCTTTCCAAGCATGACGTCCTTCTCTAAGGAAGAGCCTCACTTAGCAACAGGCGTGACATATGTGAGACAAAGCTGCATCGTCTTTGCCTCCAAGGAGCACTCTGACTGCATTTTCTCCAAGACCCGTTTGTTCTCCGGACAGTCCAGGGGATGTTCAACACTCTCCTCCAACACTGCAACACAAAGCCATCAGTTCGTCGTCTGTCAGCCTTAGTCACTGTCCAGCTCTCAGATGCAAAGCAAGTGACTGAAAAGACCACGGCCTGAATCAGACACACCTCAGTCCTCAGACTGACACCGTTGCTTCTCCGTCATCTGGAGAGGCCCCTGACTGCAGCCTTTCCCAGTGCAGTACATTCTCCTGACCTCCTGGTACCAACAGAAGCAAGTGGCAAACCAAGACCAGACTCAGCCTGAGCCGACTCCTCCTCAGGAAACCCCAGGCATTGGGTGGGTGCTGTCCAGTCCTGCGCCGTCCTCACAATCTCTGCCGGGCTTCAGCCAGTACTGCAGTCACCGTGCCGGCACATCTCACTGAGGGTCCAGGAGATCCTGTCCAGCGATACACAGATGATGCAATCTTGTTTGCTGAAAGGGAAGAGGCCTTGAAGCGTCTGAAGATCAAAGCATTCAGTATGGACCACACGTCAACGTAAAGAAAGCAAAGTTCTCACAAATGGACCCCAGGCAACACTGTGACGAAGGAGGAAATACTGAAGCTGTCAAGGGTGGCATTGTACGTGGACCCACAGTCAGCGTCAGTGGACACAGCAGTCACGAACTCAAATGATGTACCGTGCTGGGCACATCCTGAGAGACTTCCCGGGAGTGTTCAGAAGCCAGCGTGCCACTCTGAGGAATCAGGTGTGCCTGACCTGCGCTGGTCGATGGAAGATGACTGAGGGTGCTGGCAGAGAACACACCACTGACGTCCAGAAGAGGAAACACATTTGTATTGGAAGAAGAGACAGAATGTTCCTTGGAAATGAGGGCATGTTCTCAGGAGGGCTGGTCCCTGGAGAAGGACATCACACTCTGTGGAGGGCCGGTGAAAAAGGGGAGATGCTTGATGAGCTGACCTGACAGGTGGCAGCAACAAGGGGCTCCAACTGCAGGAACGTGAGGCAGGAGGAGGTCTCGGCAGGGCTTGGTTCTGGTATCCCAGGGGCTGCTGGGAACTGGAGCTGACTGTATAGCACTTAACACCAACTGCCACCTGTCCAGGTGCCCTAGATGGCACACTCCGTGGAGCATGTCCCGAGCTCTTCTCAGCAGGCAACGTGATGCCAGGTGTCTCAGGGCCACAGGCAGGTGTGCCCGTGGCATCCTGGGCCCGGGTCCGGACAAGCCCACGCGGACACCGCACACATGCGCTGGCCTGGCACCTGCCAAGCTCTCCAATTCTTTCTGAACTGCACCTAGAGGTCATACACTGTCACGTCAGTCCCCGGGGAACCAAGTGGGGCTAATACCAGCTGTTAGGGACCTAGTCTTTCCACTGCTCACAGGTACCTCACATCACTCTAGCGCTTACGATTCTAACACTTAAAAGACATTATGAAAGACCCTTAGTCTAGAGGAAGATTTTATTGTGGCTCCAAATCGGCTGATATCATTCAAACTGTTCCAAGACAATTTCTTCTTTAATTATGCTACGGTAAACTGCACGGATACGAGACGCTCCCGGGCATGAGGCAATCAGGGCACAAGTACACAGACATCAGAGCTGTACAAACAGAAGCGCCCCAGGGCTGGGGATCGAGCCGGCCTCCCACCCGGGGCAGCCTTACCATCTGGATCTCCTCTGGGGACAACTCCTCTTCGCCTTTCCCGTCGCCCCAGCTTCCCAGCTCAGGCTGTGTGTCGGGCAAGATCTTTTCTATGGAAAAAAGAAACCCACACGGTCGGAAACAGACAGAAGGGAAAAGTACTCCCTGAAAACAGGCGGACTCAGGGGGCAGGGAGTGCGGGAAGATGAGGACGTGGCCCCTCGCTGGCCTGACCGCATTCACCTGCGGCTCCTTCCAAGCACCGGGGGCAGGAGCAGTCAATGCCGCACAGGTCAATGCCGCACAGATCGTCGGTGGTCTGTGTGAGCGCCTATACACGGGGGTGTGGGCATATATGTACGTGTGTGGGCACATGTGTGTGAGCACAGGAAAAAGCGCACATGCAAACATGTGTGAGGGTGGGAACATGGACATACACGTACATACGTGGGCAACGTGTGTGAGCACGAGCATATGTGAATGTGTGTGGGCACATGTGTGTGGGCACATGTGTGTGGGCAATGTGACTGCACTGTGTGGGCACACGTGTGTGAATGAATGAACATATGCGTGTGTGTGGGCACACGTGAGTACGCGTACGAGACGGGGAGAGGAGACCTACGCCCTGACCCAGCAACGCTGCAGACTGAGGGGCCATCGCTCAGAACAAGCCATAATATATGCTGTACTTCAAATGATACACACTTACTATGCCCTTTCTGCAGATTTTCTTAAACACGGCAAAGAACTATTCTCTTTGTTAAAAAAAAGAAAATAAAGATTTAAGACAGGAGACAACGTGCCCTCCCCAGCCTACCTCCTTTCCCACGGTCACTGTAGCTCAGACTTTTCCTAAGCGTATTCATATATACACACGCATGCAATTCCCGGCCCTACCTAAACTCAGAAATGACACGAAGTTTTATACATGTGGCAGCTTGATTTTCACTAGCATATCGATTGCCACTAACATAACAGATTGTCCTCAAACCTGCTTGTCTAACCCAGCAATATACCTGAGATAATTTTGCATCAGTCTGGTTGCATAAACTCATCTCTTCCTTTTACATAGCTGCATACTACTCCACTATAAGGCCACATCAGAGCCCTCACGGGGGAGTGTGTTACACACAAAAAAATCAGTGTGATTCCACCAGCCACTCTGAGGGCAAAAGGGGGGCAGTTTCCTGTAAAGGCTTCCAGGCTTGGAAACAGGGAAGGCTGCCATGTTGGAACCCACCGGCTGGTACTGTATTATGGATTATGGAGCGGTATCGCTGCTGATGGGCCACCGCTGCTTCTACGCTCTCAGTCTACGCACTGTGTGCCTGCTGGTGGGCAGCTGCCCAGGACAGCTCTGGGGTGTGGGACTGTGGGACGAGGGGAGGACAATCACGAGGGCAGCACTGGCCTCTATCTCTAAGTTGTCCCCTGGGAGTGCTCTTGGCTGCGTGCGTCAAGCAGAAGCCCACAGAGTTGTTTGGAGACTGAGAGAGAAACAGCGCAGAGCAACAGCTGTAACGTAGAGAAGCTGGTCAGAGAGCCCAGGTGTGGACGGGATGGCGGTGACAGGACCAGGCGCTCACAGAGACACTGCCACACCCACCAGGACCCAGCACAGCCTTTGTCACCCTCACTTTTTGCCAAAACTGTCATTGCAGAAAACATCTTAGAAAAGATGGACTGCAGGAGCACCTGCAGAAACTGACCTTGTGTTTTCTCGTGCCTCTAGCCATGCCCTGGGCAGCCCTGTGTCCTCTGTGCCCACCCAGCCCTGCCCCCAGAGCCCTGCCTCCCCCTTGTCCTCATTGCGGTCCCCACTGCAAGCTTCTGCTTTTCTCAAGGATATGAGCACCAAAATTAGACACACAAAACCACTATGACCCGGGAACCAGACAGAAGCGGGCAACTGTAGAAACCATGGTCCACAGCATGGCTGATGGGCAGCCCCGCGCTGCCACCAGGCCACATGTCTCCGTCCCTTGCTACTCACTCGGGACTGCTGAACGGAGAGGAGGCCTGTGCACATGGCCTCAGAGTCGAGCAGACATACAGGGCGTCCTGTGTGCTCTGTGGTGAGCGCCCAATGGTGGACAAGTGGCCCCTGAAACATGCACTAGCAACTATGGGACCACCGAGAGGACAGTGGGAGGGCCCTGCCATGTCTGTGGGACACGCTGGACACGGGCCTTGTGCTGACAGCTAATACGGTGGGAAGGATGGCGTTGGAGTGCCTCGTTTCTGATCAGAGCACAGCTCGGCCCTGCTCCCCAACAGCCAACCGCCCAGCAGGCACTCCTCAGAGGGGTGGCCGGGCCGCCAGGGCACACAAGGTGAGGCACAGACCCCGCTTCCAGCTGTGGACACCCAGCCCCCGTCACGTCAGGAACGGCTCTCTCGGCGGGGACAGGCTGAGATGCAGGAAGCTCACCGTCCAGCTTACAGCTGCTGCGTCTCCTACGTGCGCCCTGAGCCAGGCAAAGGCTGAGGTGCTGGCGCCGCTGCCCACCGTGGGCGGTGCCGTACAGGACAGAGGCCCTCCCCTTCCAACAGTGGGACCCAAGCTCTGGGGGTACAAACAGGCCCCCCAGCATTGACAGTCACACCAGGAGGAAGGCACTTTTGAGAACAATCAGCCACGTGAGATCAACAAGGCAGCATTTGCCCAGGGAGAAAGTTCACAAGGCAGAAGGGAGAGGTCAGGGCGAGAGGAAATGGGAATCACTGGTCCGAAGTGGGAAGAGTGCTGCTACAGCCTGGGTAAGTCAATCAACGCCACAAATGGGTACAAACTGCTGGACAACCAACTTGTTCTCTGAACTTTCGCTCAAATCGCAATAAACCCTTTAAGGGGGGGATCCCCCAGGCCGAGCTGTGGGTTCTGTCCTGGTTCTGGGCCTCCAGCCCACCTCAAGCACTGTGGTGGCGTCAGCCTGACAGGTGGCCTGGCCCTGTCACCTTCTTTTAAGGGCTCCACAGGGCTACCTCCAGGACTCTGTAGAATGCCCCCCCCCAGCATGGTTGTGGGGCTAAGGCTGCCCCTACCTCTTTCCTCTGCTTCAGAAAACACCGAGCCCCCAAGGCACCTGGGATTAGGAGCACTTTCTAGGCCCTGCAGTTCTGCTGACAGGTCTGTGAAGAAATGCAAGCCTGGGTAGCACCCTGACTCCCACCTGGGTGTTCTTCAGGGACTGGTGTCTCCTCTGAGTCCTTTGATTGGCTCTGGGAGGCGGGCTCAGACGTGGCCTCTCGCGTCTTTGTACTGGGTTCCGGTTCCAGCCTGGACCTGAATGAAAAAGAGTAGCTGTGTGAATCCTTGTCCTATCAGGCTCCTGCGTGACAGGCAGAGGGCGCTGCACATGACCCCCACCTGCCCGGCGTCCCTGCGTCCACCTCCGGCTCTGCCTGGAAGTGTCTCCTGTGCACCCCAACACAGCGTGGTGGCCCACATGCAGGGACCTGTCACTGTTAGCATGTGCCAGAGGACGTGCCACCACGTCCACACGGACTGGCATGGTCACCACCACGTCCGCACGGACTGGCACGGTCACCACCACGTCCGCACAGACTGGCATGGTCACCACCACGTCCGCACGGACTGGCATGGTCACCACCAGACCCAGGACGCCACGGCTTTTACACAGATGCACAGGGCGCACCTAAAATGCGGCACTGGTGGTGCAGTGGTTAAGTGCTAGGCTGCTATTGGAAGGCTGATGACAGACAGGCAGTGTGCTTCCACTGACTCTGGCCGTGGGGACCCCCCCGGCCAGTCCTTGAGGGCCCTCCAGGGTCACTAGGAGTGGAATCCACTCAGCAGTCACTGGCTGGTTTCGTGTTTGATTTGACCATGTGCTGCATGTACCGTGGGAGCTCTGAGGACATCACCGTGACAGAGCGGGTGACACAGGAGCGGGTGACACAGGAGCGGGCAGCATTGCCTTCCACTGTATGTGGCACTGTGGGAGCCAGACCGATTTGCCAGCTACCAGCAGCACCTCCGTGTCCAGCCCCAGACGCCGTGTGGTGACCCCTCAGGCTCTGCACCCATACTTTGCCCACCTCGCCCTGCCGGAACCCTGGCACCGGAACCAGGGTGTAAAGAAGCCCACATGGGGCTCCAACACCCACGCGGGACACAGACGCCCACACAAGACACTGACTGACAGCCATGTGGCACAGACGCCCATGCGGGACACAGACACCCACACGGGACACAGACACCCTCATGGGACACAGACGCCCATGCAGGACAATGATGCCCACACAAGACACTGACCGACACTCATGTGGCACAGACGCCCACGCGGGACACAGACGTCCACATGGGACACCAGTCCTCACCTGCGGTCCTGACATACACACAGGGGCCCCTGATACCCACAAGGGACACTGATGTCCACACGGGACACTACTGCCCACCTGGAGTCCTGATGTACACACAGGACCTCCACATCCACATGGGGCACTGACACCCACAGGGACTCTGAGCACCCCACATCTCCGAGTCCCCCCGTGCTCTGGCTCCCTTCAGGGCTGAGGTCAAGGCAAAGGGTCTAACAAGCTTTGATAAAGGCAGCTTCACAAGGTGGTCCCTGTCATCCTGGGTTCAAGGCCGCTCTGTAGTAACAGTTTTCAGTGTTAAGAGGAACGACAGGCTGAGTTGGGGCCGACTTAGACAAAGCTGAGTGCTCTCTCCCTTTCTTTGTAGGTGATAAAAACAGATTCTAATTATCACAGACAATGTCTACAGAAATCCTCAGGGAAATGACAAATTCACTACTTGAAGGCAATTTGGTAAAAATAAATGTTTGAAAAGGCATCAGAAAGAACAGCTTATGCCCCATAGTGTATCTGAACTGATTTCTCTAACCAAAGGCTTAACATTTCCTGGCTGCAACCAACCCAATTTCCACCGGCCAGCCGTTGTTTCCCAGGACTCTTAGGTGACAAACAGTGGAACTCCAGTGACGGTGGTAAAAGAGAAGGGGGAGGGGCCGAAAGGGAGAGGGACTGACTTGCAGAGAATAAGAGACAAACGTTTTGCAAACTGTAAAGAAAGTCCTATAAAAATATTAGCAGAGAAGGGATTATTCTAGACTCCAGCAGAGCGCTCCTATGTCAGCTGTGTCATTACGAGGGCTCCAGATAGAAGGGAGCCATGGAGAGATGAATATTCTAGTTCTCATCAGTATACTGGGCACGTGGCCAGGAGGGACCAGCTCCTGGAGGCGGACATCATGACTGGAAAGGTGGAGGGACAGCCCAGGAAAGGAGGACCCCCGATGAGATGACTGACACAGTAACTGGGGTAATGAGGGTAGGTGTGTCAGAGACAGTGAGACTGGCTCAGGATAAGACAGGGGTCAGAGCTACTGTGCACAGGGTCACTACGAGTCCCAAGTGACTTGACAGCACATAATAATAACAACATATAGCATATTAGCTTGCAATATGGACTGAAGGTCAACATCAAGACAATGACGATTCTCTCCACTGGGCTAATTGGCAGCATGAAAGATGAAGAAACTGAGACTGTTAACAATTTCAGCTTGCTTAGTCCCACAATCAACACTCTTGGCAGTAAGCAGTCAGGGAATCCAAAGATGAATTAGGAGAATCTGCTGTTAGGGACCTCTCCAGAGTGCAGAAGAGCAAGGATGTTAGTCTAGAGACCAAGGTGCACCTGATCCAAGGTATGGTCTTTGCAATTACTTCTTCTTGTTGACTGCCTTCGAGTCAAGCATGACTCATAGTGATGCTATGAACAAAAGGCTTGGAGCCCCTCTACAGCTACCAACATTTATCAAAGTTCATGGAGTTTCCAGAGGCATACTGTTTACTATGCATCAAAGAGCTGGACCAAGGATGACAAAAGAATTGATGCTTTTGAGTTTGATGCTGGAGAAGAATACTGAAAATACTATGGACTGGTAAGAGAACAAGTTGGTCCTGGAAAGGGTGAAAGCAAGCTTCTCCTTGGAGGCAAGGATTTTGAAGTCCATTTTACATACTTTGTGCATGTAGCCAGGAAGGACTGGTCTTTGGGGAGGACATCATGATTGGAAGGGTGGAGGGACAGCCCAGGAGAAGACCTCAGGTGAGACAGACTGACAGAATAACTGGGGTAACAAGGGTAGGTGTAGAGAAAGTGAGATTGGCTCAGGATAGAGCAGGGTTCAGGGCTACTGTGCAGAGGGTCGCTATGAGTGGTAGTCGACTGGACGGCACATAACCCAGACACATCTGTCCTGGAAGAACTGCATCCTGGCTCCTCCTTCGAGGCGAGGACGGTGAAATCTCTCACAATCTGGCATGTGTCAGAAGGCGCAGGTGCATGGAAAGGCAGAGGTCAGTGAAGGGCAGGAAGCTGTCAGTGAGGCGGGCCGGCACAGTGGCCGCAGAGTGACCCTGAGTGAGGCGGGCCGGCACAGTGGCCGCAGAGTGGATGGACCCTCAGTGAGGTGGGCCGGCACAGTGGCCACAGAGTGACCCTGAGTGAGGCGGGCCGGCACAGTGGCCGCAGAGTGACCGTCAGTGAGGCGGGCTGGCACAGTGGCCGCAGAGTGACCCTGAGTGAGGTGGGCCGGCACAGTGGCCGCAGAGTGACCCTGAGTGAGGCGGGCCGACACAGTGGCCGCAGAGTGGATGGACCCTCAGTGAGGTGGGCCGGCACAGTGGCCGCAGAGTGACCCTGAGTGAGGCGGGCCGGCACAGTGGCCGCAGAGTGACCCTGAGTGAGGCGGGCCGGCACAGTGGCCGCAGAGTGGTGGAGACATGAGGTTGGCATAGGAAAGGACAAGCCCTGATCTGCTCCTCACTGAGCTGCTCTGTGTTAAGAGTCGACTTGGCGGCACCTGCAAAAACAACGTAATTGCCCAAGTGGCCTTCAGAGTACGGCGTTCGGAACACAGGTACTATCGTCATCAACACAGCAGGGAGCAATCCACACCGCCCCTGCCCTGGTCAGGCCATTGTTGCCATCATTCGTCAGGTGTCCAGTGGGCAAAAAGCTGGGCCAGCACCACTCCCGTGCACCACGCCAGGTGTGGTCCAGCTGCCGTCATCTGTCATCCATACGATGCCGGCACACGGCGACCTGATGGGGTGGACGGGTGGCGGCTTCAAGGCTGCGTCCTTTCAGAAGGACACCACCAGCCTGTCTTTGGATGGTCCTGAATTGTCACATTTCCGTTAGTTGTTGAGGATTTAACCTTTCTTCTCTCTGAGGGACGCCATCCCACCAGGACCAGGATCAGACCATCAACCAGATGTTCTGGTCCCGTCCAAGAGAAGGAGAAAAATGAAGAGGAAGCATCTGGAAACCTTTACAGAAACCTGATGCAGCGACTTCATCAGCAGACACGTCTCATCAAACAGGGTCATCAAAGCACTGGGGCTTTACGTCTAATGTGGGCCATGGCCCATGACGTCTAATGAGGAGACAACCGTGAGCAGAGGACCACCCTGAGCCCACAAACACCACTCCTGGCTGCCCTTCGGACCATCTGCCCCGAGCCAGGCTCAGTCCGCCTATTCGGTACAGGAACAGGTATTCTGCAAATCCTTTAGGCCACATCTGGTGTCTGGAGAACATTCTTCATTGCTGTCTTTTGCTTCATAATCTTTGAAAAATCCAGAAACCATGCTGACTGCGGGTTGGAACTGGTCTGTTCTTTGAAGAGCCAGCTCGGTGGGTGATCGGATCTCGTCGTTGCTCTGGACCTGCGTCTGTGCTTTAAGGAGACGTGTGACAGTAGCCGTTCCCAGTCACAACCAAGGAATAAAACATGGCAGCTGCCCTGCTGTGGCTCCGGGACGCAGAGCCACCTCCACACCCATGCAGATCGGGAAGAGCTCATCATTCATCTAACCGCCTTCGGTGCCTTCAGTGCCCGGCCACAGACCAGGGCAGGGACGCTGCCTGAGGGCCCGAGGTGGGGCAGGGGGCATGGGAGCCGTCACACCGCATGAGGGTGTCAGTCACAGCTGATCACACCGGGGCGCAGGGCGCGGGGCCCAGGATGCTCTTCCCGAGTGGTCAGCGCTGTCATAGGCGGGAAGGCTGGACGGGGCTGCTTTGCTGATAGATCCTGGCTGGAGAGGGGAGCGTTGAGTGGAGGTGCACCGTGTCAAAAGCAAATAAACCAGCAAAAGATCCTTGGAGAAGGAGGCCTTCCCAGAACAGAAAGTCATCCCGGATGGCCCTGGGCACAGGCCACATGGAGACCCAGGAGGGAACAGCGGCGGAGTCTGGCTTTAAGGACGAAGTTCAGCCTGGGTGAGGCGGTGAGAACTGTGAGCTTCTGGCCGCTGTGTAAAGAGGAAGAGAACCGGGAGAGGGATGAACCACACGATGGTCCTACACGGACAGCCAGACGGACAGACAGCTGGAGACTCACACAGTGCACCCCTGGGGGAAGGGCAGAGCTTACGCCTCTCAAGGTCTCCAGCTCACACGGGCCCAGGACAGCGATCTGGCAGGAACGGAGGCTGCACTTCACAGTCTAAATTAGAACAAGTCCCACCAGAGGGATTTTAATTTACATCTTTGTTTAAACTGCTGAGAACCAGGCTCTGCGGATGGAGGACGCAGCCACAGCTGGGTCTGGGGGTCCACCTGGAGTATCAGGGAAACCTGTTCCCCCAGGCCCCAGTGGCCTCGCTTTGCCTGATGGGGGTCCGCTCCGAGGGGCCGACACCCTCCTTGCGGGTCCCCTCTCGACCCTCCTCTGCGCCCCCTCCTTCCAGGCTCGACGTTGCCCACTGATTTCCCTCATGCTGTGTTTCTTCCCACAGCCTATGCGAATCCCACTGTCTGAGGAACCTGCCCTGGTTTTCCAGAGGCCGAAATCCAAGCTGCTCTGCGTACCCCTCACTCAGCACACCCAATGAGCGGAGTCTCATGTCTCCATTAGCGTACAGCTGGATAACAGCATTTTAAGTAAGATTTTCGTAACGGTTACGTGAATTGAGTTACCATACTGCCTGAGCCCGACCCGGACAAAGGCCGGAGAGCAGGGAGCACACTGATTCCTACACACAGCAGCCTGCACAGAGAGCTGCTCCCAGGGGTTTCCGGGCGGAAGCTGGGCAGCGGGGTGACGTTCACAAGGCTTTCCTAGGCCACTGCCCCTGCACTCAGCCATGCTGCTGGGGAGAACACGCAATCGGGGGGGGGGGGGCGGAGAACACCAAGGGTGGCAGAGGTTAGCCCTGCATCCCATCGGCTTAAACTGCGCAGTTTAGAGACAGAAGACAGGAAGCAGCGAGAAAGAGGCAGAGAACACAGCACGCGTCCTTCGGGGCTGGAGATTCCTGCGTGGACCGTGTGGAGATGCTGAAGCAGCAGTGTTAGAGAACCCCAGAGCTGCTCCGGGGCTGCTGCCCCATCGAGCCTGGTCAGGGGCCTTCCCCAAGCTTGCCGGAGGGCCTGGGGTGGGTGTTGGGAGGTGCCCAGTGGGCAGCCTTAAGAGCTTTGTAACTCTGACCTACAGTGGAGGACAGAGCTCTGCTGGCCTGGTGGTGAGGAGACTGGTTGCCTCTGAAAACCCACAGGAGGGTCAGCGATTAACGGGCTCCAACACAACACACAACAAAGTGAAGAGGCTTAAAGGTCACAGGGCCTGCTGGCAGCTTGAGGAGCTGTCCTGACGAAGCCTTGTGCCTGTTAACTGCCCCAGCACACCCTCTGGCCGTGAATCGACGTCTGTGAGATCTGTGTGGCCACGCTACCAAATCCGAGGGCCCAGCAGAGCAGTGCGGGCCCTGGGAGGGGTGGCTGCTGTCACAAGTGGGCCCCGCAGGGACTAGTCCTGTACTGTGGTCATTGTTGACGAGGACTGTTCCCCCTGGGGGAGCTGCAGAGGTCAGACGTGGGCACCCCACACCCACTGCACGTTTTACTCATACGCGGACTGCTGCACCCTCCTCTGAGGACCGTCTGCAGGGTGGGACCCTCTCATGTTTCAGTTAGCAGCCAAGCTCTTAGCCTCTGCACCACCAGGGCTCAGAGCCAAGCCCTCTGCTGCTGGTCAGTTCCCACCTGAACCCTGCCGGGCAGGGGGAGCTTCCCACGGGGTTTCCAGCAGGGTTTCTCCTGGCGAGCGGTGGGTAGGTTCAAACCGGCAACCCTGTGGTTGGCAGCCAAGCACGGAACCACTGTGTCACTCTAATTTTGAGGTTCACTGGCTGCACACCACCAGTGTTTTACCGAAAGTGACTGACTTAGTTCTCACACCACCTGTGAGAGGCAGGAGGGTGGGAGGGGCGGG